GAGGTTCGCGTACCTGATACTCAGAATCACCAAACGGTATTCGCTGAAGGTCATTCAGGTTTACGCACCAACCTCGGCACATCCCGATGAGGAGGTGGAGGAAATGTATGAGGATATTTCCAGAGCCATACATTCCTCCAAAACCTACTACACGGTGTTGATGGGAGACTTCAACGCAAAACTGGGCACAAGAGAAAGCGGTGAGCTGAAGGTAGGGAAATTTGGAGTAGGGCAACGGAACCGATGGGGCCAGCAGCTGGCCGACTTTATGGAGAAAGAGGGACTCTTTATGATGAACTCTTTCTTCCAGAAGCGGCCCCACAGGAAGTGGACCTGGTCGAGCCCCGACGGTTCGACAAAAAATGAGATTGACTTCATTATGACGACCAGACGCCAACTGTTCAGTGATGTCTCAGTGATCGCAAGGGTGAAAACTGACAGCGATCACCGATAGTTAGAGGCACACTGAACCTAAACGTTAAGTTGGAGAGGTCTCGTCTAATGAAGTCAACGCTCCGTCCCCCTCGTGCTCTAATCCAGAATCCCGAAACCTTTCAGCTCGAGTTACGTAACCGCTTCCAGTGCCTAGAAGATTGCAATGCAGTGGACGATATGAACGACAAGCTCGTGGAAACTGTCCATGCGGTCGGAGCTAAGTTCTGCAAGACCCGCCGCAGAAGAACACAAAAATTCTCCGATCACACTCTTAATCTCATGGCTGTTAGACGGGAGATGAGGCTGCAATCGTCAACAGATTTGACAGCATACAGGCAACTGAACAGACAGATCTCCAAATGCATACGGCGAGACTTACGCAACTTTAATACTTCTCGTATTAAAGAAGCGATCGAGCGGAACCAGGGCTCCAAAGTCTTTGCCAGAGATCTGTCTGCCAGAAAGAGCCAACTGTCAAGGCTGAAGACTGAGTGTGGCAACATCGTTTCCGGGACACCTGAGATTTTGAGTGAGATTGAGAGGTTCTATGGGCAGCTGTACACATCATCGTTGGAGCCACACGCAAGTGTGAGTAACGATCCAAGAGCAAGTCTTATCCGACACTATTCCGATGATATCCCGGACGTCAGTCTAAGCGAGATTAGAATGGCTCTCCAGCACCTTAAAAACGGCAGGGCCCCAGGCGAGGATGGAATTACAGCGGAGCTTCTGAAAGCGGGTGGAACACCGGTACTTGAAGTCCTTCAGAAGCTCTTCAATTCCGTCCTCCATGGTGGCACTACTCCAGAGGCGTGGAGCAGAAGTGCGGTGGTCTTGTTCTTTAAGAAAGGCGACAACGCTCTCTTAAAGAACTACAGACCGATTTCCCTTCTGAGCCGCGTCTACGTGCTGTTTTCGAGAGTCATTACGAATCGTCTCGCACGCAGACTTGACGACTTCCAGCCTCCCGAACAAGCCGGTTTCCGAAAAGGCTTCAGTACCATAGACCACATACATACCCTGCGGCAGATTGTACAGAAGACTGAAGAGTACAATCTGCCACTTTGCCTGGCGTATGTGGACTATGAGAAAGCCTTTGATTCCGTCGAAATTTGGGCGGTGCTACAGTCCCTTCAGCGGTGCCAAGTTGACTGTCGGTATATCGAGGTGCTGAAGTGTTTGTACAGTAGGGCTACGATGGCTATCCGAGTACAGAACCAGAGCTCGAAACCTATCCAACTGCAGAGAGGTGTAAGACAGGGTGACGTTATATCCCCGAAACTCTTCACCGCTGCAGTGGAAGACGTTTTCAAGCTACTGGACTGGAAAGAATACGGTATTGACATCAATGGCGAGTACATCACTCACCTTCGATTTGCCGACGATATAGTCCTTATGGCAGAATCGCTGGAGGACTTAAGCACTATGCTCAATGACCTCAATAGTGCCTCCCAACGGATAGGTCTTAAGATGAACATGGACAAAACAAAGATCATGTTCAATGTCCATGTCACACCTATGCCGGTAGTTGTTGGGAGCACTATGCTCGAAGTTGTTGACGAATACGTTTACCTGGGACAAATAGTCCGACTAGGTAAGTCCAACTTCGACCGAGAGGTCAATCGACGGATTCAACTCGGCTGGGCAGCGTTCGGGAAATTACGGCATATCTTTTCGTCAGGTATACCTCAATCTCTAAAAACTAGATTGTACAACCAGTGCGTGTTGCCAGTGATGACTTACGGATCTGAGACGTGGTCCTTCACTGCTGGCCGTATGAGGACGCTTAAGGTCGCTCAGCGAGCTATGGAGAGGGCTATGCTCGGAGTTTCTCTGCGTGATAGACTCAGAAATGAGGATATCCGCAGTAAAACCAGAGTGACCGACATAGCCCAACGGATTAGTAAGCTGAAGTGGCAATGGGCCGGCCATATAGCTCGAAGAACCGATAACCGATGGGGAAGAAAGGTTCTCGAGTGGCAGCCTCGTACCGGTAGGCGTAGTGTAGGGCGACCCCCCACTAGATGGAGTGACGACCTGGTAAGACATGCAGGAAGTCGATGGATGCAGGTGGCTCAGGACCGTGCTTTGTGGCATTACTTGGGGGAGGCCTATGTTCAGCAGTGGACTTGTGAAGGGCTGTAATGATGATGATGACATGCTCGTTGGTAAGAGAGGTACTCTTGATTTGGCTCATATTCATTGTTTCATGTTTTTTTTTTTGTTTAAATTATAGGGTTTATTGTTAACTTACATTTATTCTATGTTTTATTTTTAAATCAGCATCGATTTATAGTATTATGGTAGGCAATTAACAGAAAAGAGAAACGTAGGTCCAAATCATGTTTTAAAGAATATTAATTTAAAATAATATTTTTATTAAAGTTTTAAAATGCCTGTAATAGCGATTTATTAATGTTTTGAATACATAGATTTTGTATGATGATAAGATAATAAAAATATAAATAAAATTCTATTCTAGTAATAAAAACGCGAAATCGTGAAAAAAATAGACAATAAGATTAAAGACTTAATTCTGTTTAAAAGTTTAAATTCTTGTATAAGATATGTGAAATTATTAATGACATTTGTATTATAAAGTTTATATTTAACATATTAAGATTTATGACTGTAAGAAATTTCTAGTAAAATTGTGATATTATGTTTAATATTTTATTAATGCTTTATTTAATGTGAATGTTTAATTCGTAAAAATAATGTTTAATTGTTTTTTATGATGTGTTTAATATATGTAAATAATGTACTTTGTGTAAAATTAAATTGTTTTGTGATATTGTCAGAATAAAGATATAAAATAAACTTATGGGAATATATGGAAATGTGATAGTGAAAATTATCGATTCAAATTTTTGCGCGCGGTTCTCCTTACGTTTTAGCTCTGGGGTAGCTTATTAAGTCGACCAATTTTCAATTAGGTAGCTAAGAAGATAGCCAACTATACCGTTCCTGAACGGCTCCCAGGACTGGCCCATAGTATAGTATTGGGAATGCCCCGAGACCCGAGACCTTCTGGGCAGAAAGCCCATGCGGAAGACATCGTACGAGTCAATTAGTTCGAGACCAGCTACAGTTTCCAGTTACAAATTAAGAAAGAAAACGAAATTAGGAAAAGTAAAGCGAAAGTTGTAAAATTTCGGTATCACGTTTCCAAGGGGTATTTACGAACAATTGCTGTTTTATTTCTCCAGTATCTACCCTAAAGGAAGGAAAATTAGAATGTGACTGACAGGACCGGGACTATTCCTTGGGGCCCGTAAACTTATTCGTCAACCACATTCTTTTGAGAAAGAGAATTTTTACGTGGTAGAGCCATGCTGCAGCTATATTAGTAGTATAGTTGTAGCACGAATGGGTCGGCTCGACCGGGGAAGGAGCACGCTCTCACAGAATACCAGCGTAAAATAGCAGCTTAACACTGCTGTGTTTCATATGGTAATGTAGAGAACCGGAGACCATTTCACTGGAAACGAGGCATTCCATGTTGCAACAGGTGCAAGCAGGTGACAACGCATTTGCATTTCATTCGTAATCGAGGATAGATGTAGATGTCTATGGGTCACAGCAATCACTTACCATCAGGTGGACTGTGTGCTCGTCTGTCACACTTCTCCTATGAAATAAAAAAGAGCGATTAAGATTCAAGTTGAACGTCTTATCAGAGTCACGCCCACCACGTTGATTCCCGAACCCAACGCGATGTGGTATAGGAAGGAGGATCGGTAATTGGTTGATCACTGTTGCAAGCGTGTGATGAATAACGTGACTCTCCTTTTCATAAACTTTTCAATCAAATCGACTTTTCAGTGTATAATCAAACAGAAATTACCTTGTTATATGATTTTCTGAAAATTACATAAATTATTAGAAGCAATAAGCCACATGGAATAGCCCGTAATACATGTTAAGCGAATATGAGTAAAGAAATTACTCATGTGATAACTAGTTACAATTTTGTTCAAGGCAGTAATTTTGTTCTGTTTAACCTTCGGATTAAGTATTATACACAGGAAATGAAAATAAATCTTTTAAACTATTAAATTTATATTATAAAACCTAAAAATTGATACATTATAGTTACCACGTATTTATTTACTTGGTTTCGTGTATGATTATTCGGGTCGAATTTAATAATTGATTTTGAACAAATTTCCCAAAGAGTTAGAGACTTAAACATAACATTTGGAACATCGCTCAGATTCGATTAACAATATTAAGAATATGAAAAAAAGTATATTAAAGCAAATACAAAGTTTTTGAAAAGTTCACTTGTTTTAGTAAAACTTGCAACAATGGATTTATTCAAACATAATGTTTATATCAAGAGCATTTACGCCACATACTGATTTCGACATCTTTTTACTAAATTAATTACAAGTAGTACATATTGGGTTTAAAGCGAAACGAGTGACAAATACAAATACAATTAATATAAATGTAAATATAACATATAACTAAAATTGCTTGTATTTAAAAATAATTTCAACCACTTAAATTTAACAATTATATCTTGAGATAAACTGTGCTTAGTTGAAATTCAACAATATTCACTTGTCGTCCAACACTTCCACTGTTGATGCACTGCTAGCATTATCATGTTGCTTATCTTCAATTTGATCTGATTCTTTATCGCCAGCTCCTATTTCCTTTCCTGTCGCATCAGATATGTCAGTTTTAATCGAATTGATTCGTTCTCGGTTTTCACCTTCGGTCTGCGGCGTATCGCACTGAGTGATTTTAACTTTTTTACTTTTAGTATTGCCCATTTTACGTATTAAATTCACACAATTCCAAGAGCAACTAATTAGCGGACTTTGCGACTCTCCGTTTTAGCAATAAGTAAACACAAACAAGATAACGGTCAAACTCTATAATTAAAACTGCTCCGTAGTCTATGACGTCATGGTGATAAAATTGTAACGTGTTAAGTGAAAACGAAACTGCAACTGGTGCGAAGACACTTTGTTAATGTATATAAATATTAAACATAGTTATCACACAACAAGATAAGGCGACAATGACACATTGCCCGTATGAATATTATAGTGACCGGATCTTTGTTTACAATCGTGAAGCCAACGAGAAAAGAGATAATTGTCACAGTTTTTATATTTAAAATTAAAAACGAGATGCGCCTTTAAACTTATATAAAATTACATAGTTCACAGCTTGTATGCCACAAGTTTAAAGTACGCCTACTTACTGATGACTAATCGGTACAACTGTTTTGCAATATGTTTTTAATTCACGGTGACTATGAAATATATACATAATGATTCATATCATGACACATTTATTCCTTTCAACATAAGAAACGAAGACTACGACACGACTCAGAATCATATTTTAGCTTGCTACTAGGATAAGGTGATTTTATAATATTTTCGAAATACTTCATTTAATTAATTCTTAAAGTGGTGTAGACTAGAGTACTAATGTGATTTTAATACTTTACGTACATACATACATTTTCACTTACACCTGTCCCCAAGAGAGGTATGATGAGAGGTAGGACAATCAGATCAAGTCTTTTCCATGAGCATTATCGCGGAGAAGTTTCTGGCCAAAAACCAAAAGGTTTATTGTGCGTTCATGGACTTGGAAAAGGCCTATGACGGAGTGGATAGGGATTTCCTATGGCAAACACTGAACTCATTTGGGTTGAGCGCTCGCTTGATACAGGCATTGGAGTCTCTTTATAGGGACTCTAGTGCTTGTGTTAGGATCAACGGGGTCTACTCGGACTGGTTTGACATCCATAAAGGTGTCAGACAGGGCTGTGTGGCTTCCCCGTGGCTGTTCAACCTATTTATGGACAGTTGTTTGGAAAATTTGAAAGTTGAAGAATGCAGATTAAGAATGGGTGAGTTAACCGTCAAATGCCTTTTGTACGCCGATGATCAAGTTATTCTTGCGTCGTCGGCGGCCGAGTTGCAAATGATGGTTACATTAATGAACGGATCATTAAAAGAAAGGGGTATGAAAGTGAACGCAAGTAAGACGAAGGTTATGGTTTTTAAAAGAGAAGAAAGTAAAACGATTTGTGAAATAAGAATAGAAGGGGAGTTGATCGAGCAAGTAGATGAGTTTATATATTTGGGCTGCGTATTTAGCAGGGATGGGAGATATGATAAGGATATAGAACGACGAGTGAATGCGGGAAATAGAGTAAATGGGGCCTTGCACTCTATTGTGAAGAGTCAAAATGTGTCGAAAAAGGCACGTATGGCAATTCACAATGCTGTGTTGGTACCTACTTTAACGTATGGTAGTGAAAGTTGGGTGTGGCAGAAGAAGCACGAGAGTAGAATAAACGCAGTAGAAATGCGGTCGTTAAGGAGTATGTTAGGGCTTAATCTGAATGACAGGGTAAGAAATTGTGTAATAAGAGAAGAGTGTGGTTTGCAAGATGATGTTGTGACCAGGATTAAGAAAGGAATGCTTCGGTGGTTTGGTCATGTGGAAAGAATGAATGAGGAAAGAGTGACAAAGAAAATTTATGGTACAGAAGTGAAGGGTAGAGTCAGAAAGAGACGTCCTATGCGAAAATTTATCGACCAAATTGGCGATTTATTGAAAACGGGCCAAATTAGGAGTACCCTTAACCGACGAGCATGTATGCGTAGGTGTATGGATGTAAAGGAGGCAAGAGAGGTGTGTCAGGATCGTGCCAAATGGAAGTCTGTAGTCTCTGCCTACCCCTCTGGGTGACAGGCGTGAGTGTTTATGTTATGTTTATGTCTTTATACGTGTGCAAACCGAAGTATCCATTTCTTAATTCCAGATTCTTAATTCCTCCCAGAAATCACATTACACCCTTTCTGAACAATGCTTCCATGCTCAATATGGACTCACGTAGAGAGCTATATTTAGGGGGACTAGTCTTTAGTGTTATTAAGTTTAAGAAACCAGAGTACTTCCATGCAAAGATAAAGTTTGCTAAGCAAGCAAATTCTGGAAAACAATTGAGATCCATAAGATCAGCACTCCTATATTACAGCCATAAAACAGCGGCATTTACCGGCAGTTTCCGATATATGGCAACGAAAAATAAATTCAAAACATATCTTCTAGATAAACAAAAACAAGGTATTCCCAAACACTTCGTTTGCCAGCTATAAGCCATGGCATGTTATTTTCTTTTTTTTTCTTTTTTCTTTTACTAACTCATCACGGTTTTTAAGTCATTTAGGTACTAGCCTTAATTGGGTACGCAGCCTTACACATCTTTTCCGTAATTTTTTTACTAAATTAAGCCCAAGATATAAATCATAGAGCTGAAAGGACACATCTTTCAGACATAATTACACTACAATAATATTAACGTGCAAAAAAAATAGTTTTTTCCTTATTTCTTTCTGATTGCACTATTGTGCTCATTTTCTTCTCGCCACCTCGAGGGTAATAGCTGAAAATCAGTGTTTGCTCTCTGAGCAATATTAATCGCTGAGCTATGACCCATTTGTTTAACTACAACACACATGTATATTTAGATCATAAGTTTATGTATATTTTTTTCCATAATACTTTGATTGTATATCTAGTTTAATCACTGAATTTACGTGTGTGATTGGAGATACAAATAAACGTTTTATCTATCTATCTTAATTTTGATCATATCTTCTTGTAAACCACACATTGCTCTTATTACATTATTTCTTACCCTAAAATTCAGAGTTAGACCAAATATACTTCTAATGAGCGCATTTCTACAGCATTCATTTTACTCTCATGGTTTCACTGTCACACTTTACTTTCAGTGTCTTAAATTAAGGTAAGAACTAACATAACTTTGTGAATTGTCGTACGTGCCTCTCTTGATACATTCTGATTTCCTACAATAGAGTGAAGAGCACTATTCACTCTATGTCCAGCATTCAATCTGCGACTCCAATAAATATATATTCTCTCTCCTAAAACATAGCCTAAATACGCCACACCATTCTTTGCAATTCGCCCGCCGACGCTCAAGTCACATTTACTACTTTTTCGTTTTTCAGGACGTAAAACGGTTTCATCGTCGCGTCGAAGAACACAAAACGGTCTTTGTAAACGGTTTATCGTCGCAACGTCCACTCCTAATATTACTTATGAACTTATAATTTTTTTACACCTTTTTAAGCATATTGTGTGCATGGGGAAGTGTGAGATTTAGCATAGTTAAAGTTTATATAGAGAAAGAGTGCAAAAAGCTAAAACTTATGTATAACATGTGTACATAAAATAAAATAAAATATACATTGTTTACGTTGATACTGCTAATATCAAACACATAATTGTCGATAAACGTAGTGATTATACTTATACCCCTTGATTGTCGCTTGAACAGTTTATGTCGTTTGTTGACTGACGTTCATACTGCCTATAGCGCCTTATTCACGGTTCATCTTGCTGTACATCTCGCTAAGTTCATACACCACATAGGTCAATGATTACGTACGTCAAGCACTATCGTTTTTTTTATTTTATAGAAGAGCATGTATGACTGACGAGATTTAAAAGATGCTCCTTCAATAAATACATTTAAACGTAAGCTTGAGGCATATTATTTAAAATTACTTTATTAATTTTGTTGATTATGTTTATTATAATTTCGTATACTATATTGTATGCTTTATTGGTTTAGTATATATTTTATCTAAATATATAAGTATGTATGTATATACGTATGTATGTGTATAAGTGTATATATGTATAAACTAACATATACATAATATTATATAATACGTTTTAAATAGTATGAATAAACAAGTTAGTTTTTTTTCTCTCGCGGCTCTACCCATAGCTCTCACCACACTACAAAAGGTTAGCTGGCAGAGAATGCCTTGTTGGCATTAAGGTGTATCCCTGACCAAAATGTTGCGAAAGTGCGTTTTTCAGACTCTATTATCTCATTAGTTATGAAAAATAACTACATCTAAAAGCACATTATTAATGTTCGCTATCTTACCATCACATTCCACATTCTAATTTGTTTTATATGTACTATAAATACATTTAAAATCAACTTTTAAAAAACGACTAAAATTCTTGATTTTATTTGAGTAATTTTTTATGCAATTTCTTTATCTACGTCTATTTTTAGGAACCTTTATTTATTCTAAATCATACATAACACTATATGACTGTTTTACTTACTTATACGTAGTTTTCTTTTTTGCAGTTACAAATATCTTATGAGGTTGAAAAAGGCAGTAATGAAAAAATAATAAGAAGAATAATGATTGACATCAGCCACTTCTTTTCGGAATTAATAAAAATTTCAAATCATGGTCCATTAGGTTGCAGCTTCACCGAACTACAACTTATCGGAGAAACACAAAAGGCTTAGAGTCAAAATTTACGTTTAAAAGCCAATTATGTAACCAAAAATTTGTAATAGTAAACGATGATTGTAGTGAAAATTATTTATCATTAAATGAATGTGCAGTCGCAGGTACGAGGGCGGCACTGAAAATTTCGGAAATCAAGGAAGTGACACAACATTGCTTTTTAAAAATGTATTTATTGCTTTTCGAAGTATTATCCGCGAAATTTGACACATTTTTCCATACGATGGAAGCAATCATTAAAGCAACCATTCCATTCGGAAGTTGGGGTCTCCAAAATGGCCGTTTTGTAGGCGTCCACAGCTTCTTCAGGTGATGAAAATCTCTGTCCACGCAATTTATTCTTTATTTTAGGGAAAGTATAGAAATCATTATGGCTTAGGTCGGGGCTGTACGGCGGATGGTCTAATAATTCTATGTTTTCTTGCTCTAAAAAC